TCAACATTTATCTGAAATAAAAAGCTTTTGTAATATTAAACACTATTCTGTTCAAAAGCTTGGAGTCAGTATGATTTATTTTTTCTTTCTTTTTTTTTTTTTGGGTGGGGGGGAGAAATTATAGAAATGAGTACTTTTATTTAGCAAGGATGCTTTAAATTGATCATAAGTGATGATAAAGACATTTATAATGTTACAAAAGATTTCTATTTCAGATAAATGCTGTTCTTCTGAACTTTCTATTCATCAAAGAAGCCTGAAAAAATTCTACTCGGCTGTTTTCAACATCATAAATGATTTTTAAGCAGCAAATCATAATATTAGAATGATATCATTACTCCAGTCTTCAGTGTCACATGATCCAGAAATCATTCTAATATGCCGATTTGCTGATTATCAATATTTAAAACAGTTTTAAAACAGTAAAAAAAAAAATCAGAATTCTTTGATGAATAGAAAGATCCAAAGATCAGCATTTATCTGAAATAAAAAGCTTTTGTAATATTAAACACTATTCTGTTCAAAAGCTTGGAGTCAGTATGATTTATTTTTTCTTTCTTTTTTTTTTTTTGGGTGGGGGGGAGAAATTATAGAAATGAGTACTTTTATTTAGCAAGGATGCTTTAAATTGATCATAAGTGATGATAAAGACATTTATAATGTTACAAAAGATTTCTATTTCAGATAAATGCTGTTCTTCTGAACTTTCTATTCATCAAAGAAGCCTGAAAAAATTCTACTCGGCTGTTTTCAACATCATAAATGATTTTTAAGCAGCAAATCATAATATTAGAATGATTTCTGAAGGATCATCTGACTGGAGTAATGATGCTAAAAATATATAGCTTTGAAATCACAGGAATAAATTGCATTTTAAAATTGAGCAGAAGATAATTCTTTAAAAACATTAAAAATCTTACTGTTCAAAAACTTTTGACTGGTAGTGTATGTTAGCCTATAGTAAGTTAAACATATTAATAATTAATAAGGTGAGTCTGAGACATTATTTGACAGTGATTTCACATTTCTTGTTTGTATGAAGGCTAAATACAAATAAAAGTTGAACATTAATATATTTGTGCTGGTTATTTTTCTAAAGTATTATATGGTATTATATGGTTATATATGAAGTGTCATAGACTTGCCAAATTCATTTTTCATAAGTTTGTTAGACAGACATCTGTTGTGGGCGTTCTTGGCAGTTATTACGAGGCTTTTTTAAATAGTGTTCATATCGATATCGGCATTATATCGTATCGACCGAAATTAAGAAATGTATTGTGATATAAATTTTGGCCATATCGTCCAGCCCTAACCAAAGGTTTGAGGAATTTGCTCACATTTTAAAGAAATTATTTGAATCAAGTGAGTTAGACAGGATTCATCTAATAGTTAAAAGCATAAGTTAAAAGCTTTATACATAGTATTGAAATCCATTTTGGTTGATCCAAACTTACAAGTGAGCAGCACTAAATACAGGGGTAAACATGGTCCAAAACAAGCTTATGTTTCACAGATATCCATACAGTAGGTAGTTAATTCTAAGGTACACCTTTGCTCATTTGAAATTCTGAAAAGTAAATCTTTTTCAAACTGTACTTGCTTAATCTATGACAACACATCACAAATCCTAAAATAAAAATATAAGTGTGGATGTCATCATTCATTCTTCAAGAGAATTTTGTTATAATGTGTGATTGGGGGAATTTGAAATGTACATTGAATGCGTTCTTGCATTCAAACACAGCTAAATCAAGTTAATCGAATGGTACATAGCACAAATGTTGTGAGAAGTGTTTTTAAAAGACTATAATTTGACACAGTATGTAGTATGCTGTCAGCGTGATAAAGAAAGCACCTCTGATACCAAATATGAAAAAAAAGATTTTTAAATGAGTACATTTGTGTGGTTGTTGAAGCCTCAATTAATTGTTGTAAAAATAAATTGTACACCTAATGAATTAAAAATAACGTAAAGTAGAGGTTTCTTGATTTTACTATACATTTCTTTCAAAACGGAAGTTAAAAAGTCTGAACAGGGGATTTTTTTATAAAATAAGATAAATGGTGGGATAAGATAAATAAAATTAAAGTAAAACGTTATTATATTGTGATCTTTAAAATCTAAAGAAAATGATTTTTCAAGCATTTTTGCTTTAAAATTGTCATAAAAGAGAGAAAAGAACCTCCAATTTGAAGAAAAAATTTTGAAGGTATGTTAGTCCTCACATTTCTGGATTTTTGTTTCTCCTGTAGACTACCTGAAGGAACAGTTGGATGTTTATATGTCTCAGTTCCCTAAAGTACGAATCATCCGTCTGAAAGAGAGACAAGGCCTAATCAGAGCCAGGATAGCAGGGGCCTCCGCTGCTACAGGTACTGTACACTCACTTTCAATTCAATTCAGTTTAGCGGCAAAGCTTCAGTCCATGGATCTGTGCTTAATCTGTTTGGAATACATAGCATAGACATTTCTGTTATTTCTATTATAAACAGTGTTTGGCCTTATTGGTTGTTTTAGCTGATGTTGTTTTATCTGCAGGTGAAGTGTTGACATTCCTGGACTCTCACGTTGAGTGTAATGTGGGGTGGCTGGAGCCACTGTTAGAAAGAATTTACCTGGACCGCAAAAAAGTGGTCTGTCCTGTTATTGAGGTCATCAGTGATAAGGACATGAGGTAATGAAGTATATTCAGTCATGCATTTAAATAAATATTGTGCTCCCCATTTTGTACAAGGCACAAAATATACTATGGTGCTACATTACCGTAGCACATATCCATGTCCCTATGAGACTCAATATCCCTTCCAATGTATCTTTCCTCCACTGCTGCACTGAACTGTTCAAATTCATGCACTACAATGTATTCATTTATTTTTTTGTCTACGCAGTTACATGCTTGTTGATAACTTCCAAAGAGGCATTTTCAGATGGCCGCTGGTGTTTGGCTGGAGCGCGCTACCTCAGGAATATATTAGAAAGAACCAGGTCAAGGATTCAGACCCCATCAGGTTAACATCAACGAAATGGCACACACAATATATATTCATTGCAAGTTGGCCAATCAGATTTGCTGTCTCTTGTAATTTTATGTATAATATTAAGGACATCTTTCAAATTTGTACCATAATGATGAGGTTTGTGATCGCAGTGACTCAAAATTATGTTTATTTATTTGTTAAGATTTGTTCTTTGATTAGTTTAGTTGTACTTTTTACAGGTTACAAAGACAACAAGTGTTTTATATTTTAGAGGGTTTTACAGAATCACCCGATTCATTACGAACACAGTTATTCACAAGTTGTATTATCTTCTGTTAAAATCTGTATGCCAACAGAAAGAGTTGTTAAAGGGGTCATATGATGCGATTTAAATTTTTCCTTTCTCTTTGAAGTGTTACAAGCTCTTGGTTCATAAAGAAGATCTGTAAAGTTGCAAAGACTAAAGTCTCAAATCCAAAGAGATATTCTTTATAAAAGTTAAGGTTTAACCACGCCTACCTAAAACGGCTCGTTCTAACATGCCCCCACATGTCTACGTCACGATGTGGGAAGATTTGCGTAACGCCACCCAAATGTTCACACAAAGAAAGAAGGCGTAACTTTTATTCTCGCTGTAGTATTGTTGCCGCCGCCGCCATGTTGTGGAGACGCTATGTTTCGTTGTGAAAGCGAAACTACTTTGGTTGGCCTTCCAAAAGAGGACGATATCCGCTTCGTCATGCCTAGAGCTGATCCGTGCTGGTCGCTGAGGGAATACGCGCTGTGGATCGCCGGATCGGCTTTCACCGTGGACGAAGCGGAGTCCAGCCCGGGGTCGTCACATGTGGTTGCCGCAAGCCTGCCGGATGCTCCTTCGTCGAATCCGCCGGCCGCACCGTTCTCAAGCCCGCCAGCCTCTGCTCACTCAAGCCGGCCGTCGCTCACTCTAGGCCGCGGCTCACTCTAGGCCTCCGGCCTCCGCTCACTCAAGGTGTGTGACGCTGTTTCATTGTGAAAGCGAAACTACTTTGTTTGGTCTTCCAAAAGAGGACACGACTAGAAATCGGTGGTTAAGTTGTATTTACAACACCGTTCCAGAACAGTTTAACCCAAATATTCAGATGTGTCCAGCGCATTTTATGGAGTACTGTTTCCTGATCCTGAGAGTAGACTACAATGCTGGCTGTTCTGACTCACAGACTGTAAGTACGTTTTTTATATTTAAAGAATTTGCCACTGACGATTCAAACGCGAGTTTTTTGGGCAGTGTAGAGTAGCACTTGTTGTTTGTCATTTCTCCGATCACAAATGCAGACATGGTTTTATGTTTACTCGGCGCGATGTTTATGTTTACTTTACATGTCGATTTTTACAAAGCTCATCGGTCTGAAAAGCGAGGTGTGCTCTGATTGGCCAGCTATCCAGTGCATTGTGATTGGCCAAATACCTCGTTTGTGATGGCCGGTGCGACGAGACAAAAACATTAAAAGCCATTATAAACGAGGCATTTGTTGCATCCAGTGGGGACATAATTACAGATTATAATGACTTATACTGTCTTTTAATGTTTTTGTCTCGTCGCACCGGCCATCACACACACAAGGTATTTGGCCAATCATAATGCACTGGATAGCTGGCCAATCAGAGCACACCTCGCTTTTCAGACCGATGAGCTTTGTAAAAATCGACGTGTTTCAGAAAGGCAGGGCATAGAGGAGAAACAATGATGTACAGTATGTGGAAAATAATGTGTTTTTTTAACCTTAAACCGCATAAACTACAATACACCAAATACACAAAATAATCTTCTTTTTAGCAGCATCATATGACCCCTTTAAAAATTAATTTTCCCAAATGAAAATCAGATTATTATTTCCCCTTGATTTTGTCGACTGATAAACAAACAAACGTCGCCATCAGCAGCCAATCAAAACTGAGCACCTTATAACATTATATCTGAATGGCAGATCATCATGAAATTTGGCAGGTTAAAGAAAAAATGCTGAAAATTTACAGGCAATGCATAATGTCTTGTTCTTCATCAGAACAAATTAAAGCATTGCATCACTTGTTCACTATTGTATCCTCTCCAGTAAATGGGTGCCGTCAGTCCAAACAGCTGATAAAAGCATCATAATAATCCACAAGTAATTGGCATGACTCCAGTCCATCAATTGACATCTAGTGAAGTGAAAAGATGTGGGTTGTGATTAACAAATAAATCAAGATGTTTTTAACTTCAAACCCTTGCATTGCATCAGGCTAAAATACGAGTACTCTATTCGTAATTCATAATTTAAAATATCTATGTTTTTTACAAACATACTGCTTTTCACTTCACAAGACATTAATTGATGGACTGGAGTCGTGTCGATTACTTGTGGATTATTGTGATGTTGTTATCAGCTATTTAAACTCTCATTCTGACAGCACCCATTCACTGCAGAGGATCCATTGGTGAGCAAGCGATATAATGCTTAATTTCTCCAAATCTGTTCCGATGAAGAATCAAACTCATCTACATCTTAGATGACCTGAAGCCAAGTCAATTTTGAGCAAATTTTCATTTTTGGGTGAATTATTGCTTTAACGTGTTTATTAAATTTGGTGAGAATCGACCACAAGGTTATTCCGTATGTGTGTTTTTGCTAATAACTCTGGAACTATAATGGTCAAAATTAATCTCTCTTCCAATTCCTTCAGTGCCTCTGAATCAGTTATTCATGTATTTATTTATTTATCTGTGAAGTTTTCCACCATTTTGAGTTATTTAAAAAAAAAAATTTGAGTATTCACCATCTTGAGATGCCCCTGACAATCAAAACAATGTTGATAATTTGGTAACACTTTATAAAAAGGTTAATTAGTTAATGATAATTAATACATTAACTAATATTAACTAACAATGAGCAATACATTTGTTACAGTATTTATTAATCTTTGTTAACATTAAAAGTACAACTGTTCATTGTTAGTTCATGTTAGATCAGGTCCAATAATTAATATGCACAGATAAAACTTTGGATTTTAATAATGTATTAGTAAATATTGCAATTAATATGAACTGAGATTATTAAATGCTTTACAAGTATTTTTCATTGTGAGTTAATGTTAACTGATGTAGTTAATGTTAACAAATGGAACCTTATTATAAAATGTTACTGATGTTGCAGACATATAGGCCAATATATTTGTGTCGCCACAAATATTGTGAATGTTGTGAATGCAGTTCACAAAGCTTACACATGGACAACTGTTGAGGACATCTGTTAAATTTCATGAATTTGCTCAGAGGGTAACAGCAGTTTCTAAAATATCAACCATTTTATATCAATAGGAATGACAGAGATGAAGGCCGTAATACTAACATTGTCCACCAGGAAGAGCCACAGGAAAATAAATCCTTTTAGTTCTCATAGATTAAAATGTGTGTAAATTGTTCAAAAGGTTGACTATATGATATATTCATGTTACTTTAATATAGTTTGATAGTTTAATATAGTCAATTTACAAAAAAACAATAAGGGTCTTCAGAAAGCTTACAGTGAAACAAACAAACAAAAAAAGTACTGTGAACAACTGATTCTTATAACAAACCAGGGCCGTAACCACCATAGACATTGACATTGATCACAATAATTAGAAATGGCCAAATTGTCTCCCCCAATATTTGAAATTTTTGCACTGATATGCTGCACTCCATTATGCAGCGTTCTGTTTGTTATTAGGATGACAAAAGGTTTAAAAGTTAAATTTTTAGCCTGGTCTGCCCCAGTGTTCAAGACATGGAACAAACATGAATGGAACATCATTATTGCGTGACTGTATAATTGGTATTCATGTTTAAGCATGTTTAATGCACACTAACAAATTAACTATCGAGAATACTATATGTAGTAGTTTCAGTATAATGTTAGTTCTAATTATAGGTTGTACTGCATTTATGTTGTAAATATGTAAAAAATTATAATAATAATAATAAAAAAATACAAATCTAAATTAGTACAAATCTAATTCTAAAACTTGCTCCTTTTAGACTTGCACTCTATTTATTTACTAACTGCTTGTTTTCTTAAAAAAAAAAACTAACACTTGCTTCTCTAATCTTTTTTAATTCTATCTATTTGTTTTCTTTTTATTTATTATTCAATTAACAAAAGCAAAAAAGGCCTCTAACACTAGCTTGCTCTATTCTTTTTCTGTTCTATCGGTTTTCTTTTTATTTATTATATGATTTTTTTTTTAAACTTGCTATGTGTACTGCATTAAGCTAACTGAGACTTGGTATATCACTTGTATATCATTGCTCTTTTGTTGATTTTGATTGCTTCCATTGTCCTAATTTGTAAGTCGCTTTGGATAAAAGCATCTCCTAAATGTCTAAATGTAAATGTAAACTGCAGTTAAAGGTGACAGTGTGTTTTTCTTTTTCTTTTCTTGCACAGGTGTCCTGTTATGGCAGGGGGTCTTTTCTCTATGGACAAGAGCTATTTCTATGAGCTGGGGGCATATGACCCAGGCCTGGATGTCTGGGGTGGGGAAAACATGGAAATCTCTTTCAAGGTAAATAAGCCAAATGTTCAGACATTTTTAACTTTTAATGTGCATGCAGTGTTAGGATGGAATGTGAGAGTTAATGAGTCAAAAGCAGACCACTTTTAAGCTTCCCTTCAGTAAATCAAGTTTACATGCATTTTGAGCATTACATACATAGGCTACATTACATACAACATAATAATGTCTCAGCTTTTTGTTAGTTTATGGACCTTAAATAAAAAAATAATAATTTTTACAGTCTGAAATAATTGTTCCCCAATGGCAGCAGGTAATGTGTTATTTGTGCTGTAGATCTGGATGTGTGGTGGCGAGATTGAAATCATTCCCTGTTCACGTGTCGGCCACATCTTCCGTGGTGATAACCCTTACAAGTTCCCCAAAAACCGTGTGAAGACAGTCGAAAGAAACTTGGCCAGGGTTGCAGAGGTGTGGCTAGATGACTATAAAGAGCTGTTTTATGGCCATGGTTACCACCACCTGCTGGACAAAAGTGTGACTGAGATAGGAAATCTGACAGAACAGATTGAGCTGAGAAAAAAACTTGAGTGTAAAAGCTTTAAATGGTACTTGGAGAATGTCTACCCAGATCTGGATGCCCCTCTGGTCAAAGCAGAAGGACTGGTAGGTAGAAAAAAAAACTTTATACCACTATCACTCCACAAAGATAATTTATTCACTGAATACACCTAATACTTCTATGTTACTAATCTTACAAACATAACCTCATTCATAAACAAACCTCATTCTTAATTGAGGTATTATCATGAGGTATATTTCTGGTTAGGTGTGTGTACACATGTGTATGCATATGTGTGGGCATACATATATATTGTATTGTATTATTATTATTTGTTTTGTTTTTTATGTGATATGTGAATGTGTAGTATTATTTGTTAGGATGTATTTTCTATGCCAGTGTCAAAGATGAATTTCTGTTCAGGAAATCTGGACAGACAATAAAGTTGAACTAAACTAAACTAAAGTGTATTTATTTATTTTTTCAGATTTTCAATGTTGGAACCAGAAAATGTTTGGTATTTCTCAATGACGTTTTATTATTTGATAAATGTGAACACACAAATAAGGTAAATCCAAATCACATGTTTTATTAATGTGTATATTCAATTTTCCTGTATAATCTTTCATTGTAAATACACTGCATCATAAAAACTGTTTCTGTTTTCTCATGCCTCGCAGAGTCAACACTTCAGCTACACCTGGTTAAGGATGCTTCGACAGAACACTTCCTGTTTCGCTCCTCAGGAAAAACAGATTATCATGGAACCATGTGACAGCACTAAGCCACATCTCCGCTGGATGCACAAGTCTAAAGGTTTGGTAAGTACAGCGCAAAATCTATTCTCTAGGGATAGTACCATTGATAGGTTCATTAATGAATGGTGGGACAGGAAATATTAAATATTATCCCAATATACTAATTGTTACAAATGTTTTAACAGAAATTGGATCACTTGCTTCTCCCATGGTTAATGTTAAGCCTAGTTTAAATAAAGGACACTGAACTGACACTTCAGCCCATACATAAACTGTTCTTTGCTTTTAGAAAATGTTATGTGAATTTCATTATTGTTGAAGAATTGTTTTTGTCAAAAGCTGTTTTGTTTTAACAATATATGTAGGCAGTAAGGTATGTGTGGTTGTGCATAAGGTGGCAAGAATAAGTTTGTGAGCCTTTTAAAAATATCTGAATTTCACTCATGACATGTAGTCTGATCTTTTTTTAACTCCCAATTATAGATAAATGCAATCTGACTACACAATAACACACAAATGTGCATTGTATTTACATTAAACACATTGAGTAATGATTCACAGTGCAGGGTGGAGAAAGTAAGTGAAACCTTGGATTTAGTAACTTGTAGCCTCCTTTAGCAGCAAAACCTCCACATCTACCATTTGTAGACTTTTGCCCACTTATTTTTGGGATTTCTCCCCACAAAATCTGTTTCAGTTTATTAATATTGTCTTGATAGTAGGGCTGCACGATTATGACAAAAATAATAATTGTCGATTATTTCCTTGAAATTGTAATTCCAATATTAATTATGATTATCACAATTTACATTGAATGATGTTTATACCATTGTTTGAAGCAACTGCATGCCATTTTTCTATGAAAAAAACAAGCTGAAAACATTCTAACTGAAAAACTTGTATTGCTTTTCTATAGTATTAAGCCTCAAATGTCAACTATACATTGAATTGGTTTCTTCTTTTTTTAAAAAAATAAAAAATTTATTATTATAATGTTAAATTGAAACTAACATTTTTAATTTGTCCACGATTAATTGTGCAGCCCTACTTGATAGCACATCCCTATTTATGTTATGCCACAGCATCATTCAGCCACTCTTTATTTGGTATTACTTGTGTGATTTGGGTCACCTTTATTTATATTTAATTCGATTAAAATTTATTTGTATAGTGCTTTTCACAATACACAATTTTTCAAAGCAGCTTTACAGAAAATGCATGTATCAAAGCAGAAGTGAATGTTTATTTCACAAATGAACAGTTCAAGATAATGGAATCATACAGCTAGCTAACATTTTAGGCAGAAGCTAATTGAAGCAATTATTACATGTGTGATTATAATTATTACAATATAGAGAAATTTTGGCAGCTGTGCATGTCGATTCAAGTTGGCGTTGTCTGGGGTCCTCGCAGGGCTCAGCATCATCTCTTCAAAGGTGTTGGGTCATCTGAAGTCTTGGGTCATCGCGCATAATCTCTAGTTACCTCGAGCTGCTGTTTATAACGTTTCAAGCAAAAAATATGTTTGTGACTTTTATCTGATCTAACTGGGAACAAGGTGAGATTGAGATTCATTATGCGAATGCTTGGCTGAAGAGATGTCTTTAATCTAGATTTAAACAGAGAAAGTGTGTTTGAGCCCTGGACATTATCAGGAAGACTATACCAGAGTTTAGGAGACAGATGGGAAAATGATCTCCCTCCTTTAGTGGACTAGATATCCTAGGTACTACTAAAAGTCCAGAGTTTTGTGACCTTAGAGAGCATGATGGATTGTAGGGCATAAGAATATCAGTTAAACGTACAGGAGCTAAACCATTTAGTGCCTTATAGGTCAGTAGAAATATTTAGAAATCAATACGGAACTTAATAGGTAACCAGTGTAGAGATGATAAAATTGGGGGTAATATGATCATATTGTTTGACCTGGTAAGAACTCTAGCAGCTGCATTTTGGACTAACTGTAGCTTGTTTATTGATGATGCAGGGCAACCAGCAGTAGTGCATTACAGTAATCTAGTCGAGAGGTCATGAATGTATGAACTAGCTTTTCTGCGTTAGAAACAGATAACACGTTTCCGTAGCTTAGCAATGTTTCTGAGGTGGAAGAAGGCTGTTTTTGTAACATATGAAATATGGTTTTCAAAAGATAAGTTGCTGTCTAATATAACACCCAGGTCTTTAACTGCAGATGATGACATAACAGTACATCCTTCTAGTTGCAAACTGTATTCTAAGATATTCTGTGTGCAGGTTTTTGGTCCAGTAAGTAATACCTCAGTCTTGTCTGAATTTATTAGAAGAAAATTACTGGTCATCCATTGTTTTATATCTTTAACACGTTCTGTCAACGTGGATAGTTTATAAATTTAATTTGGTCGTGATGAAATATATAACTGACTATCATCGGTATAGCAGTGGAAACTAATTCCATGTTTTCTAATAATGTTGCCAAAAGGCAGCATGTATATTGAAAATAACAAAGAGGGCCTAACACGGATCCTTGCAGCTCCCGATAATTTACTGATGTTAACTTGGATTTTTCACCATTTTAAGTAGACAAAATAGTAACGTCAGCTCGGTACGATATAAACCACCGTAATGCATGTCCCTGAATACCAGTGTAATTTTGTAGTCGCCTAGGAGTATGTCATGGTCTATCTTGTCGAAAGCAACACTAAGATCAAGTAAAACTAGTATTGAGAGACATCCTTGGTCAGAAGCTAGAAGTAAGTTATTTGTAATTTTAACAAGCACAGTTTCTGTGCTATGATGAGGCCTGAATCCTGACTGAAATTTTTCATAGATATCATTGTTTTTGCAGGAAGGAGTACAATTGAGTGGACACAAATTGTTCTAATATTTTAGACAAACGGAAGATTTGAAATGGGTCTGTAATTTGCCAATTAATTTGAATCAAGTTGCGGTTTCTTAATGAGAGGCTTAATAACTGCTATCTTAAATGGTTTTGGAACATAACCTAGAGATAGAGATGAATTAATAATATTGAGAAGATGCTCTTCTGCTCTAGGTAACAACTCTTTCAATAGTTTAGTGTGGGATCTAGTAAACATGTTGTTGGTTTAGATTAGGGCTGCACGATAAATCGCATGCGATATTTAACGCGCATCTTATGAGTAAAGCCGGTTCTGTAATCAGCGGTAAATCTCCATCACAGGTATATACAGTGGGTACGGAAAGTATTCAGACCCCCTTGCGGGCACCACTTAGACATCCAGCCATTGAGTGACGACAGTCTGCTATGTATCTCATCACCACGGTAAGCAGGGAGGGGACCAGAACATATTACAGTGTCTGACATCGAACTTGCAAGTTCACACACCTCTTTAATGTTATTTTTAGTGATCTCTGACTGGCGAAGTCAAACATCATTAGTGCCGATGTGAATAACATGTAGGAACCATTAGTCTTTGGGTTTCAAATGGAGTATGGTTGCAAAGATTAAATTTAAAGGAATTGACGGAAAGGCACCAGGAGTGGAGCCTGCATCTTAATTTGACTCAACACTGGAAACCTCACCCAGTCTGGACAGACAGATTGATAGCTCTTTCTTGATTCTGTGGGTGGTGGTGCATGGCCATAACCCACTGGGGGATTGATGTGGTAGCTTCAGCTTTCCCTGCATCTCCCCGCTAGGCCCGCCACATAAGTGTTCAGACCCTCGTGCAGCAAAGCAGTGTAAAACCATGATACTCCATCCAACATTCTTCACAGTTGGGAAGAGGTTTTGGAGTTGAGGCACTTTTTCCACTAAACAAAACATTTGTGCATTTTTGACAAAAAGTTTAACTTTTGTCTAGCATTTTCCCAGAAGTGTTGTAGAATGTCCATATGGTCTTGGGCAAACATATGAGACCATGCCTCTCTCTCTCTCTCTCTCTCTCTTTATATATATATATATATATA